TATCATTCAACTAATAGTCTAACTTTAATTATTCCATTCCATAGACAACGAGAAGAATACTGGATCAGGAAACTAGGAACAGCATTTCCGTATGGTTGCAACGACCACATAAATAATGTAGGGAATCCTTCAAGCCCACAATATACCAATGTGAATGTGATAGGACTTTTAACAATACACCTAAACGTAGGCGTAGTCACGAACATCTTTCATACAATAGACAAAATATACATGATGTCCCTTTTAGATCACTTTTACATACATTAATAAACAATTAGATCTTCATTACATTTGCACAAAACTTTACTCGCTTCTCTTGAAAGTTTTGAATGGATCATTCGAAGAAGTTAAAGCAAGTCCATACTTGCATTCTTTAACCACAGAATATATACTAGTGTTTATGATGATGGATGTTGCCCGGAATGGGCTCTTGAAGTCACCACGTGTGTCGGAAGATAATAATTCTGATTGAATTTGTTGGTTCCTTAAACTTAAATTTGCCGACAAGGAATAGATATTGTGAATATTAATAACATCCTTAATCATAAAAAAGTTCAGTCATGCATTCCATCAAATTTTAATTAAGCTGAATTGTTGAATTCTACACCCTGTATTTCCTTCAGATATTCCTGAACTGTTGCTTCAAAACTTTTGAATTATAAAAAAAAAACCTTACAGCGCCTTGATATTGAACATCAAAAGAAAATCCTCTTAAGGGTTGACCGATTATGACATCGAGGAGACGGACGGCAGGTGTGATCAGTTGGACAGGTATTCTTCTTCATCGTTTAACTACAGTTCCGGTGGAAACGTCAATACCGGTGATATTAATATAGTTCAAAATGAAGACCTTAAAGCAATCATCTTTAAAAATACTAAATCCACGGAGCCACGATTTTTCAATTGGCAGCAGAACTTCATTTCTATTATGAATCCCGTTGAAGATTATGTCAGATTTTGGGCTAAATATGGAGGGGAAAACCTGAAAACTTTGTCAGAATGAATTAATTATTTTAGAAATATATCAAAGAATCGCATTAGAAAGTTAAAAAGCAATATGCGAAACATCTATTCTTTCGTTTTCACTATATCGAAGGTGATTAAAGAATTAAACAAACTACTGCGTTATAATTCTACGTCGGGAAATCGAAATTTTGCTCAACGTTCATTTTCTAAGGACACATTTCTTCAAAATCACATTTCAGTCCTTAATACTTTTAGCATTACAGTCAAAGTTGCCCGCATGGCGCAGTGGTTAGAGCGTATGCCCTAGAGTCGCAGAGTAAGGAGCTGGTTCGAATCCACTGCGGGACTAGGAGACCAATCCTTTGTATGAGACCCTATAAACCGAGGTGTCGCAGTAGGTGTTGTCACGAAAAAGATCCCTCACAGTTGAATGGTCCTGAGTGCCGAGTATAGGTATAAATTTGCAACCCTCCACCGGCAAGTGGTGCTGTCTCCATATGAATGAAAAAAAAGTTCGAGGGGGACGTTAAACAACAAGAAAACAAACAAAACATATACATTCCAGTCAATCAAGTTGAATTCGATTTAACCTGGGTGAGTTCGATCTAGCCTATACTGGATTCCTTAACTTAAAAAAATCCTTACAAAGATGCATTTCCTGGTCCAGCAAAAGCTCTGAAAAGTCCCTATCTATACTCCTAACAAAATACTTACTGCTGTAAAGGAAAAATGTCAGGCGTAGTGTACTAAAGCATATTCTAGAAGTGGTGTAAATCAGATTCTCAAAAACTCCAAAGAACTTTCAGAAAATTTAAAATCACCAATTTTTTCAAAAGTCTGTAACATCAAAACGTACGACTTTTTTGCAAATATTCTTTACGATAAATTAAATCAAGGTTTTTGATATCATAGAAAACTGCTTATTTAATAAAAACGAAACTTTTTCGTATCTTGTGATTGGTAATCTTCAAAACTACTTTGTTAAAAATTACTTTAATTCTACAAAGTGCTCTGAAGTTGAATATTAAAAAAGTAGTCTTTGGAGAACGAGTCTTCCAAGAATCTGTTGGAACTCCGATGGGCGCCAGTTGTGCTCCTTATTAGCCATCTTGTTTTATATGAAGCAAAATTTATTCACATGTTTCTACAATATGTAGTTACTTTCATTCATATGTCAACTCGATATATCCAATTGAACTGGAAATAAATGTTGACAGTCTGCCACTTCTGTTTCATATTTGGATGTTTTACTGACTATAGACTATGAGGCTAATTAACAACTAAATTGTATGACAAACGAGATGAATTTAGCTTGTCAATCGTCAACTTTCCTTATTCATGTAGCAATATTCTGCTCTCACCTGTATATGGTGTTTGCGTATCCCAACTTATTCGATACTCAAATGCTCGCTCTGTGTACGATCGATTCTAAACCAAAGCAGGCAATTGATGGATAAGTTGATGTTCCAGGGATTCGCTTTTTTACAAACGTTTAAAGTTTGATTCATATACGTTGCCATATTTTGACATTTTTTCCTCTTCATTTTCGATATAATTCCTGCCCTTGTAATGGACAACCGTTCAACAGTTTGTCCTAGGAGTAGCAAAAACAATTTGGAAACTGCAATTAGATAATAATTTACATATGGTAAGTATAAGAGTGGTTCTTAACTGTGACGATATCTAACTTACAGAGAAATTGTCGAAAAGTTTCATTTTTTAGTATTTTTAGAAAACTATCTCGTGTTCAAAAGCCACATTTGTCTAAAGGCGCCGAAATTAACAAATATTATTACTCGTAGAAAAGTGTGTTGTCTACTAATAATTAAAGTATAGTAACCTTTTTTTAATTGATACTTTAATTTTGTGTAAAAAATGCGACCAAATATGATGGTTTGTGGCAATAATTCTGCCAAAGATCATTATTTACATTGTATATCCCTATGATGACAAGTTTAAAAATCCTTAAAAAATAAATCTTATTATCAATGGTATGACTGACATTCTTAAATTTCTTAAAGTTCTTAAATAGAAAATACGTTGTATATAATTTTGCAAAATTTGATGCATTATTCTTATTAAAATCCGGGCTCTAAGATAGCAACTGTACAAATCACTATCTTTTGATTTCATTTTTTAGCTCACCTCAACGAAGTTGGGTGAGCTTATGAAATACCCTCGGCGTCGGTGTCGGCGTCCCAGGTTAAAGTTTTTGGTGCAGTTTTCTTTTCAAGTACTTCTGTGCCCTATATTAATCAGAGATGCATGGGGGATGCTTCTAGTATGTTTCATTGTACCAGTCAAGGTTTCAGATACTGCAATTTCAGCAGAAGAATGACCAGGTTAATGTTTTTGGAGCAGGTCTCATTTCCAAGTTACTATAAGCCCTATATTGACTAAACTTGCATGGATGATACATCTAATGATGCACACTACCAAGCTTGCTTCGGATGCTGGATCTGACCTACATTTTTCGGATGAGTGACCAGGTTAAAGTTTTCAGAGCAGGTTTCATTTCCAAGTAACTATAAGCCCTATATTGACCAAACTTGCATGGATGATGCATCTAAGGATGCACACTACTGGACTTGCTTCAGATGCTGGATATGACATACATTTTCTGGATGAGTGACCAGGTTAAAGTTTTTGGAGCAGGTCTCATTTCCAAGTAACTTTAAGCCCTATGTTGACCAAACTTGCATGGATAATACATCTGAAGATGCACACTACTGGACTTGCTTCGGATGCTGTATCTGACCGACATTTTCCGGATGAGTGACCAGGTTAAAGTAAACTATAAGGGTTTTCTGAACCAAACTTGCATGGATGATGCATCACGGGATGAACACTCTCAAACTCGCTTCAGATGCTGGATATGATTTACATTTTCTGGATGAGTGACTAGTTTAAAGTCTTTAGGTAAGTCCATTCCCAAGTAACTGCAAGCCCTATCGGACCAAAATTGCATAAATGTTACATCTAGGATTGCACACTACTAGATTATTAGTTTGAGACTTTGCCTTACTTAAGGGGATGAAGGACACATGGTCACATGACTCTGTTTAACTACGTCATAGTCTCCCTTTATAATAGTGCAAAACGTGTAAAGTATCAATTCTTGTATAATTTTTTGACAATTTTTTTAACTTTAATTACCATCTTATATAAAAAAGTAAAAAAGTTTTAACGTTCTTGTAAACATTAACAAATTATAAAAGAGATTGATCCACTCCTCTGTTTCCCTTAACTGCGCCTCCAACAAGTCGGTGACGTCATACACGATCTGTTAGTACAGAAGATCATACCCGGTGAACACAGGGGCGGTATTATTATGTAATAACAGGTCATAATCAGTATATGATGATATATTTTGAGAAACGGGGAACACAAAAATTATTTTTGCATGGCTGATGACGGAAATCATATTTAGGTATATCTTACTTCGCTTATTTAGCTTACATGTGACGTCATAGTTGGTTTTTCCCGTACTCGAGAAATGTAACATGACAAGTTTTTGTCATGCTTATGTCCTCTTTAACGATGTCCTGTGAAATAATGAGGTCAGCTTCATCGCTCGAAATTTTAACAGTTAATCAATAATTTGAAGGATTTGTATTTCAACGTAAAATAAAAAATATTGAATGATAGAATTTTTTGTAAATTACGTTTTTTATTGTTTAAGTTGTCTTAAAAAGTGCGTAATTTTCCCTATCCAGATGCAGTGTGATAGACAAAACTTCCTTTTTCGAATTTTAAATCCTAGTTATACTCTGAAATAATTTAAAAGATACATGTCCACTTTGATATTTTTTTATATATGCTTAAAAAATCCCATTATAGATAGAGTAATGGGCCCGGAAACATGGAGAATTAAAACTCCACTTAGATACGGTAGGGCATAGTATTTGTCAATCAATATCTCCAAAATAAGGTAAGAAACCTAATGATATAATTGCTTTAAGATATGTGGGACATACTTAATTAGAAATATACAAAATATGAAAAAAAAAATGAATGACAAGTATTTTTTTCAGCTCAAGGTCCTTCTCCTCCTTAAAGACAACATTCGTTGAGGTGAGCTCTGTAATCTCTGATTACCTATGTTTCTTTCAATGCTAGATGGTTAAACTGTGTTGTGGATATTGAGAAAATGCAACGAATGTCGAAGATGTGAGGCTCACCTGCAGAATAATAACATTCGGACAAACAGACAAAAGGACGGACAAACCTATATAAGAAAATATTTGTCCGTCTTTATCCTTGATATTCTGAAAGAGACATCTGTCAGATGAGTTTCCAACAACTTACTATTAGTATATTCCTGACAGAATATAATCATATGTAACTATTTTTTTCAATCAATCGTTAATCACACTCACCATCAATCACGCATAATGCAAGAAAAAATAGATTTGTACTTTCTTCAAAAGGTTATATAAGATAGCAAAATGCTTTTGAAAACTGAGATATTGTTAAAATCGAATCACAAATTGTCCCCATTCTGGTTTATTAAGTTAAAAAAATATACTATATCAATATTAATTTATCAAAATATAACCCAGGATTGAATGTATTTAAATTTTTGCTGAACAGGAACTTAAGTTACAACTGACTAGGAACGTCCCAGTATATAATTTTTTTTGTTCTTCATTCATATACCCTCTTTTTATGCAACTCTTTCATAATAAAATACAAGTCTTTTAAGCGATGCGAATTGTTAGGCCATTATTTTTCATACTCAATTGACTGCGAATTTTAATTTAATTTACTCGACCATGGCAAAGGGCACACAGCGGATGTGACCGTCGACAGGGGATGCTAACTCCTGACTGGCACTTGATCCCGCCTCTGGCATTTTCAGAGGTCCGTATTTGGTCTGCTCACAATACTGTTTCACTTGACTTTTTATCATGATTATTATTCGTTATTTTCACATTTCATTATTAAAAATTACAGTTACAAATGGCAAAATAATGAAAGAAATATCCTAGTTCATTAATTGTGTTTTTCTGCTGGTAAAGATGCTGAAATGAATTAGTAGTTCTTCATAAATGTATTCATTCATTGTAGTCCACTGTAGCACGGTATGAGAAAATGTAAGTGTGTGGGGGGGGGGGGGGGTCTGTAATTATGGAAATTTTGGATGAGCAAATTAAAAATGTATGAGCATTCCTAATGTCCCTTGTATAAATTGCTTATCTATTTACTTTACAATTTCACTTGTGTTTTGCTTTTAGAACACAGTTGACGAATTGATTGCACTATCATTCATGTGATATTCAGTAAGAGTAGAGGTACATTTCTTCAATTTTTATTTCTTTATCCTTCTTGTGGCATATTTTTGCAACCACTTGTCAAATGTTTATTTCAACGTGTCAGATCTTTATGTCAACATGTCAGATAATAATTATCATGATTAGGAACTACGTGACTGAAGCGTGTTAATGACACTAATTGACATCTCTGACAAATCGACATAATTCCCTGACAAGAAGACATAATTATCTTACAAGTTGAAACAATTATCTGACATTTCGACCATATTTATCTAACAAGTCAAAAAAATTCTAGCAAATCATCAGAATTATCTGACAAGTCGAGATAATAACTTGTAAGATAATGATGTAGACTTTAGTTAAATTTAGAACCACAAACCATCATCTTCCAATTGAAATAGGTAGATGGAATGGTACTCAAAGAAATGAAAGATTTTGTAGCTTATGTGATAGTAATCAGATAGGAGATGAATATCATTATATTTTAGAATGTAGTGCTTTAAACCAACCGAGAAAAAAATTTTTGAACCAAAAATTTTGTTCTAAGCCAAACACTATGAAGTTTTGTGAAGTTATGTGCCAAAATGATGTTGATTCTTTGAAAAAATTATGTACATTTATTACTAAGATTAATAGTATAGTCTTTTCTCCCTAGCTAGCTGAATTAATCTCACCTTTTGCTTGACCCACTGTATTATATGTATATATGTTTGTTTGTTTTTTTGTTTATGTACCTCTTGTCCCATTTACTTGGTTTTTGAGTGAATAAATTGAATTGAATTGAATTGTCATATGTTATGTCGACTTGTGAAAAATAATAAAATCGACTTGTAAGAGATTAGATCGACTTATAAGAAACTTGTGTTGGTTTGTACGATATTTATGTCGACTTGTCAGATAATCATGACAAAATGCTAGAAAGTGATGACGACTTGTCAGATGTTTATGTTGAGCTGTTAGACCTTTATGTCAACTTGACAGATCTTTATGTAGACTTGTCACAAAAATTTGTTGTCAACTGGATGGCACAAACTTGGGATGAACACGTTTTCATTTGGAATTTTAAACACGCAAATAAGTGACAAGGCACAAAACAAAGATCTGACAAGTTAACATAAAGGCCATCATACATCCCTGATTACTTTAAAGTAGGGCTTTTAAGAGGGCGTAACCCCCTTCCGGAAATGAATATGGTTCTTCAGAAATTGTGCTTCCTAATTTTATCTTCTCAATACATTAGCATGAAGGATATTGTACTAAAATGTTGTACATTATATGATATATAAGCAAAACAATAAAATTATTTCGGGAACATAATCTTCATTGTTTATAGTTTTGGCTCTTCGTCTATTTGTCAAGGAATACCGTTTGAAAATAACGTTTTATTTAAATACAAGAAATTTTTACTAGTCGTTCCAGAAAGTGGATTTAAAAAGCTAACACTCCACAAGTGTCTGAACATTGATGATAGAGAACTTCTGTGCTTGGTCCTTTCGCTTATACACCGGACTTACGATTGTATGGGAAAATCCACAATATAACCCACAGCAAGACAAAACTTCATATAACCTTAAAGGACCGGGACACAGATTTGAAGCTCATATTTTCTAAAAATTTTCTAAATAATATCATGACTTACATGTTACTACAGCATTTCACAGCGAAATATATTAAACGCGGATTTAGAAACTTCTTTTACCTGAAAATTATTAAAAGTACGGATTTCGGGAAGCGTTTGACACATACCCTTGCACTTTCACAAAGTAAATTCTATTCATAATACTTATATAAAGTAGAGATTTTGTTGTCTATTAATGAAAAATATAAATACTAAAATCAAGAAAGTTCAGAGTAGAAATGCGAGAAAGCAAATCCAACTCACCTGAAATGTCAGACCGTGCTCAGTGATGTGTGCAGACTAAACAATCAAACACACCCGGTAAAAAGTAAACACTTACAATAATAGAGCTCGTGTCCTGTTTATAAACACAGGTGTTTGACGTGATGTTATGGAGAACGTCGTTGATATTAAATTCTTCGAATATACATGTAAGTTCAATTCACTAGACTGTAGTAATTTTTTGAATAAAAATAGACATTTAATATTGTAAACAATGCAACTGTGCCCAGGCCTCTTAAGAAAAATTAAGCGTGCATTATTTCCTACGCAATCAGATCAATAGGCATACATTAAGTTATTCGAACAGCTCTTAATAAAAATATAATGATATATTCTAATCATATATTCTTTAATGAATGGAATAGATAAGATTTTTTATGGCTCAAGTCAGTCAATTCTATTCATCTTAGTTTTATTGAAACACTTCTCTTAGCAAAAGTCGTATGACTGAATTCCAAACCATTTAATTAATAATTGGAAAAAAATTGCCAAATGTTTCTTTTTTTTTCCTTTATTTTTACAAAGTACTCTATATCCGAGGTGAATGTCAAATTTAAGACGTAGGAACAAAATACAAATGTTACGAGGCAAAAGGAATTTGTAAGATAAATTAGTTACAACCACTATTCAAAGACTGCACGTCAGCATAAACGTGTTTGCAATTTGAGGAAGAATGCATTTCCCAGAAAATTGTCTGCCTTCTCCATTCTACAGCTAAATGTGATTATTGCACTCTATTTCTGTGCAGAACATGCTTAATACAAAAGATTTTTATAGCACATGAATACAATAAACCTGAGCGTGACAACAAATATTAAGCTAACCGAATTGCAGGTAAAAGTACATCCACCTGGCGAGATAGAAGACATACAGTTTTGTGGCAACATGCATTCAATTTTGGATTGCTCACACCTCGCCAATCTTTGTATATACAAGCCATACAATTACTAATCTATTACTTAATAGAAATGATATAACATATCGAAAACAATTATATTTTCTACTTGTATTAAACCTCCACTAAACGTTTTTCTCTATAATAATGCATTATTAAAATGTGTAGAAAAAAAGCAGTATTTGAATCTTATTAACCTGGATGTGGTGCAGAATTGACAGAAATTCCAGGAATTGATTTTTGGCTTTTCGAAAACCGATTGTTTGGCCCTGAAATACATCAATACACAGCCACCTATTTACAAGGAAGTAAAAACAATGTACATTATATAATTAATGTAACATATATCTGATGTATGTATTATTTGTAGAACTGATTAAGTTTATTAAGATAGTTCCATTTGTACAACTGATTAAGTTTATTAAGATAGTTCCATTTGTACAACTGATTAATTTTATTAAGATAGTTCCTTATGCACACTCATTTTATTGAAAAACATTAAGAGTTTCAATAATTGTGTCAAAAGTAATTTAAATGATATAGGTATCGCCTACCCAACGTGTTACAACGCAGCCATGTTGATGCAATATATAAATCGAAGGTCAATTTAATCCACTTTATGAAAAAGAATATGGGCTTTAATGAGACTTATAGTAGGGACAAATCATTGAAGCTGCATTTCAAGATACATTCTTAAATTTAAAAAAAAATATCCGGAAGTGCCATTTCTTAAGGATAAGTACGATATTTATACTGAAATAATCCACATGAAAGACAAAAGAGGTACATATATGGTGCTGTAAAACTCAGAAGATGTTGAGAGGGCAGTGTTCCGAAAAAATCAAATTGGGTAGAACTCAAGGTCAGTATGTGTTTTGTTTTTGTAACTCCAACATTTGTAAAGGTATTCAATATCTATCACATTTAAAATATATGGAATCTTCATTAAAATATTAGGATATAGACATTATTGGCTTTTTTCAAAAGGATTAATTAAGAAATAAGATATCAATTTTAGAGTTTCATTGGGATATGATATGAAGTCGGTCTCGTGATCAAATTCTGTAACACCCGAAGGGCTTTATAGTAGATTTGATC